CAGTACATCTTCACCAGCTTACACCTGATGGGGATCCTGATCCCTGTTATCACGTGAAATGGCAGACTGTCAACTTTACTATCCCAACGGGGAAAAAGAGATTGTGGTTTGGCAAATGACCTGCCACAAGCCATTCTGTCTTAAATATAGAAACCCCATGTGTTTTCATGCTTACTCTTTTTGTGCCTCCTGCACTGACAGGTTCTTTTTAAACTCAGTACAGCCACTATATGTTCATGGATGATGAAATGTAGAAGGACTGCTTTGTGAATGGCTTCCTCACACCCTTTTTCATCATTTTTCATACAGTTCTTCTATAAAGGGGAAGCATGGTTTTGTGGTTAAAGCAGTAAACTAGGACTATTCCACAGGTACACTGGGTGATCTCAGGCGAGTTGATTCATTTCTTTGTGACTCAGTTCTTCCACCTATAAAATGGAGATAGTAACAGTTCTGTTCTCTGATGGATGATATGAGGATAAGGTGTTCAGATGGTATTTCTAAGTAAAACTAATAAATAGAAAAATAAATGTGGCATGCTTCAGGGGCTCAACCCATGCATTTATATAGGATTTGGGAAAATTGCTTATTGGCATCGGAATACTGCACAGTCATACTTTATGAGATTAAAGTCTTGTGCTGCTGCCTTTAAGACACTTCTGGGAGGAAAAGCTAAATAGTTCAGCTGAGTAAAAAAATTATGATTTTTGATACAACATCTGATACAAGTGACCTCTGGAGTGCTTTTCCATAGATCCCATTACAAATTTCCTGTGTCTGGCATGGAAGCTACCACAAACGCCAGTGTTTCTTCAAGACAGAGCCAGAGGGATATAGCAATTGTTTTAAATTGTATTTACATCAGTGGAATTTTCATAAGCCCTTGTTCAAACCATCCCCTTTAAATCCATTGTTCTCATCAAGTAGCCTTCAAAGAAACCACTGTCTTGGTCGCATATTTAATTTTGAACTGAGACCTGATTCTGAGGATGGGCGTAAAGAACTCCAGCTACCAGAACTGGTGGCAGTGAAGCATTGATGCCTCACCAGCTTCAATGCAGCTGTGGACCTGTTGACTACAGTGGGTCTCTTTGCCTACTAAAACAAAAGTTGGATTTCTCTTGGGACAATCTGGGCCAATTTGAGTTAATTGTCATTCATTCAAGGGACACTCTACATATGAAAATGGCTGTGCTGCTTCCAGGTTTTTTACTTGGACCAATCAGAGCTGCCTAAAATGCAACCTCCTTTACTCTAATAGACGAGGGTTAAACCGCCAGGCCTTTAGTTTCCATGCCAGACACAGGAAATTCATGATGCCATGAAAGTAGCACCTGGACACACAAGGGAGGGTCACATTGTATAGATGCACTACATTAAAAGTACAAATTGCTTGAATGGAATTTCTGGTCTAGAATAATTTCTTTTGTGGTAATAGACTTGAAAAGGGCTATACTGAATCCTGGTTCTGGGAACCATCATTTCAGCAGATGGATACTTACAGTATGCAGAAGGTCTGAGGCATTTAACATATATACACAGTTTGTGTGACTCTGTGGTTGTGTCTACACATACAATTAATATGCAGCAATAAATTCCGGTGCATATCGTGCCAAAGTTTATTGCTCCTGGATGCTGCATTTGAACGTGTGTCCAAGACTGCAGCACATTAAGCTGGGTTGGAGCAACCCTGGCTGGCAGGGAGCCAGGGGATGGTAGGGATCAGCCTGCCAGCTCGAAGCTACTCTGACCTAGCTCAATATGCTGCAGAGGAGCTGACTGGGGCCTGGGGCTCCAGGAGTGGGGGAAGGGAGGCGCTTTAATTAGAGCAGCTCCAAGAACCACTCTACTTAAACCGCCCAGACCATCTCATGTATCAGTTCGAATGAGTTTTAGTTAAAGTGCCCCACCACCATTTTTCAGCACAGGGATGTTGATACATGAGATGCTGGAATCTACTGGAGCCCAATAATTACCACGCTCCAGCAGACTCAATTAATCGAGTCTGCTCCAGCACGCTGTAATTACAGTGTGTCACAATAACCTCACTGCACATGTACAGGTGCACAAGGGTGCTCCAGCGCAGGGCTAATCGGCAGGAAGCCCCCACAGTGAAGCATCCTCATGACCCAGCCAGCCCAGTCAGCATCTACATGTACATTTCTACATAGTAAAACCTGCCCTAGGATAGTACCTGTGTTTACAAGTACTAACCTACAACAGTCTATTAGTTTACTCTGTCCTAATAGCACGGTGAGTGTAGATGCTGAGACGTTTACTACAGAGCTAATCGGGCAACACTGCAGTAAACATCTCCTGTAGGATGTACCCTGTGTGTTTGCAATCAAGTAAAGTGTCCTGAGCTGAAGGACGGAATCAAATTTGAATTGCTGACAAATGAAAGAAAGTCACATTTGAACTACCGAAGTGTCAGATGAAAGTGTTTTTTTTGATGGGGTGAAGAGCTCTAATGGGTCTCGTTAATGATAAAATCATTGCTATATAATATATCTTTTGACTTTTTTTTCACTTCTTGGGATAATTTATAGCACAGTGTGAAATCTGAGACAGCGGGCTGTGCCAAAAGGTCTGGCAGCAGGAAGAAAGGCTGAGATTTGGAACCAGAATATGAGTTATAAAATTTAATTTTAGAAATGCAGCTACTGGGAACTGCTTTTAAGTATACATTTTGCCCTTAGAATGAAGGCAAAAAAATGGCTCCTAATTCTTGATTAAAGCGTTGTTAGAGCTTCATGAAAGAGTGCTCTGTAGGGAAGAGAACATAATGGAACTTTGCAGGGAGAATTTTCTTTGTATTTAGTAACATGTCTCTGGTGCAGAATTGGTATAGATGAATGTTTATATATTGCACAATCAAAGAGAAAGCAAAATTGGCTATTGTGGGTTATTCTAATGAATGTTGTGGTCGTGACGTGCTAGCCTATATAACTCCTAAGGGAGGGAGCAGTGACTTCAAAGAGGCCTCACCACAGAAACAGCAATGACTACCCCCTCAGGAGAGAGAAGGAATCACAAAGGAATAAACAGAAGACAGCTATCTCAGACAAAGCAGTAGTGAAGGGAGGGAGGTCAAATGGGAACCAAAGAAGGTCATTTAGTAGACAACCATAGATAATATCCCCTGTTTCATGGCAGATGGAAAAGTGAAAGTCGCCAATCTATTTCACTTCCGCAGCAGAGGTCCAAAGTGGATTTTACCCAGGAATGACTGTGGCCTACCATATAAGAGGGAAGGGGCAAAAGAGACTCAAAGGTCATCTGATTACTTGGGGGAGGGCAGGGGGAGTAAATAAAAACAGGGTAGGAATGTAAGTGGTGTGAGAGGGACAAAATAAAGAACAAAAGCAGAGAACCCTGGAAAAGAGCTACTACTCTATAAAAGTTTCCAGTGAATCAGTAAAAGACCTAGGCGAAAGGGACAGGTCCAGTATCACCTTTTTCACAGTCCCCTCCCTATCTGTTTCTCACCCCTGAGTTGGAGGGAACTGCCTTTAAGTGTGAAAGGATAGAACATCCTTTGTACCTATTCAAGTTTGATCTCTTTTCTGTGACTTAACCGTGGGCTCAATCCTGCAGTCTCTGAGCAAGAAAATCTCCAACTAAAATAAAAATGCACTGAATGTTTTCATAGTTTCATAGTTGTTAGGGGCTGGAAGGGACCTTACAGATCATCAGGTCCAGCCCCCCTGCACTTGGGCAGGAAAGACTTTTTGACTGTGTAAGGCTAAGAACTGGTCTGAGACTTTTAACCCATTCCAGATTATTTCACTGAACACCTGTCTGGTAGAGGCTTGGTAACTGTCAGCCAGGCCACTGACTCAGAAGCTTTTATTTCAGCCCAAGAACAGGATGTCAGGCACTTTGGATGAGGTAGTTCAAATGTGAACTTACTCATGCATATTTAAAATCAAATAGACAAATGTGATGAGGAAAGAGATGCCTTTTCCTCTCCCCACCTGCCATTCATTGCAACCTTCATAGCATAGCAACAAAACTTTAACAGAAGTGCTCAAAGAGCCTCCCTGAGACTGCCATGTAATGGCATCTGACAGACAAAATGTACACACCAAAGTAATCAGATAATGCAAATGACAGTAAACTTGCCCAATCTGGTGGAGACATAACCCCCTTCAAAGAATCAAGGTATAAAGTTATATTAGTGGAAGCAATGCAAGTCCAGCTGTTTCCTACTTCCCCATTGCCTAGCGGTATGGCCCAGTAATAGCCATTGACTGTGTGAGATAACCCTGGGATAGCTGCACCTCTGCCTGTTCCTGATCCCAGTGTAATTTACATCAATATACAACACCAGTGTAAAATATGCCAGGGTATGCATTCACTTGTCCGTAATCTGAGTTCACTATGTAATAGCTTACATCAAACAAGATAATAATGGAAAAGTCAGCATTACCTTGCAGAGCATTCTTCTGCAAGGCACAGCAGAAATGCCAGACATAAGTAAAAGAGACTTTTACCCCCATTAATTTCATGTCGTTAGGTAGTATTTCTTATATTCCATTCTTCTTTCTTTTTTAACAGATGAGCTCCTTAAGGCTCTTAGTATGACATCAGTGTGATTTATTGGGACTTTGGTTTTTGCAGCATTCTTGAACCTTTCTGATCACAACATGATTGAGGGACTGAATTCTTGATGAACTGCTGAAATCCAGATTTAACATGTGGAAGATGGAACAACATTTTTTATTCACTTTAACAAAAGCTCTATTTTTCCCCCCACATTCAATAATAGGGCAGAGCAGCTTTTAGTGGATGTGTTTTGAGAGTACTCCACATCTCATAGGAGTTAGACTGTCTTGTCACTGACTTGGTTGTGTTTCCAGTTACTACAGAGCAATCCTCTCAGTTCCATTGCAGATAGCTGCTAGCCAGTTAGATACAATGCCACTGGATCGGCAAAAAGTCAACAAACTTCATACATCAGTGAGATTTTCTGATCTTTTTCCCCCCTCCCACAATAGGACATCGTCAGAAACTAGATGAGCAGACAAAGCCTGGGAGCTTGTCCTTTTCAGAGCGCCTGAGTGAACTGGAGCAGTTGCGTCGCACAGCCATGAGGGTCAGCCCACATCACCCAGCCCCCACACCTAATCCACGAGCTTCCTTGAACCACGCCACTGCTTTTAACCCTCAGCCTCAGAGTCAAATTCAGGGTAAGTACCTGAAACCCTTCCCCTCCATTGAAGAAACCACCTGTTGGTCCTTAGTGCTGATCAACATAATCTGCAGTGCTAAGTGACCTTTCATCATGAAAGCACAAATACCTTTCATGTTACTTTGGTGACCAGATGCATGGGAGGCAGGACAACAGATATGATTGCAGGGCAGCAAACGTAAGCAGCCAGGTCAATGCTTCTATTGGAAAATAATAGCTTTGGCAATGCTATTTCCAGAAGTGATTTGTAAAGTTTAGATAAATACTAAAATAGCACTACTTTTAAAATCCATGAAGTCTTGTCTTTCATAATGACAGTGCGGTGCCCTGAGTTAATGTTAAATGTGTTAATGTCAAATGTAATACCCTAAACCTTTGATCTTTAACAAGCTACATTATTCCAGTACCTTTTTATATATGTAGATGCATTCAGTCATTTAATTATGGGCATCTGTGTAGAAGAAATAAAGCTCAGAGTGGTTTTTGCCTAAGAAACAATTCACAAAGAGAAACTTCAGAACTGTTGTTCAGTAAAGATAACCAATTACAGCAAAGAATTAGCTACTCAGTACTGGCAGCAAGAGTAAATATTGTGACAAAAGTTTACTCCATACATTTTATTTTTATTTTCATTTTGCAACGCGGAAGGGGAGCTAAGAGATAAGGGTCTCCCAGCACCAGCACCATGGTCACATAGCTGTGTTGGGAGATAAGGGTCTTCCAGCCCCCTGCTCCCCAATCACAGTCTCAGAGCAGAGGGCTTGGAGTTCCCTTCTGCCAGGTCAGGGGAACATAGTCTCCACCCAGGCTCCTGTGGCAGAGCCCACCCTGGCAGCAGGCAGCTCCCAGGGGCTGGGGGCTATCTCTTGCCCCCTGGTAGATGGCTGACCAGGAGCAGATTTTGCTCCCAATCAGGCATCTACACAAGCGGTACTCTATCATTACTAATCTTGAGTAAATTTGCTACTTGCATTTGCAGGTAGCAAATTTAGTCAGAATTAGGGAGGTTTACTGAATAGTAAGTATGTGCACATGTAGACGCACATGCTTACTTCTCAGTAAACTATGCTAATGTGCAGTTAAGCATCTCATTTAGATGCACCCAATGTGTATTTAGCACAGTTATAAAAAAATCAGATGCATAAAAAGAAAAATACCTTTAAAATCAGGGTAAATGGTGGTATTTAACTTAGTGGAACCCGTTGCTTCATGGAATTCCACTTCTTCCAGTTAGAATGAAATAGTTTTGATCAAGTTTCTATCATGATGTTTTGAATATTGTAGTGGTTTTGAGTTAATAGTTTTTCTTTAGTGTTCTATTTTTTAAATCAGAGTAGTTTGCACTAAGCTTAAATGAAGTTATTACTTCCATAACAGAATGGCCTGTTACCTGTCATGTCTTTCAAGGTCTAATCCTGGGCTCATTGAAGTTGGCTGCAAATCCCCTATTGACTTTAGTATATACATAATCTGACTATTATTGGGAAGTATGTCAGTCACTGAAATAAATCAACTTTCAATAGCATATTGCACTTCAAAAAGCAGCATGCAGAAAAGTTCAAAGACTACACAGCTTCCCTAGTTACCTGATGAGAGAAGCTGCTTCTATGTATCTCAGTGCTTTTGACAGTCATCTTGCATAGTTTCTAGCTTGGAGAGTAAAGAAAATGTAATTTCTTGGGCATACAGTTATGTTGCTATAAAAGAAAATGGATGTATCATTATCACTATTCTGAAGTCAGCAGCTATGTGGGTGGAGGCGTTAGTAGCAGACTTGCATTCTTCAACTACTTTAGAACACTATATGCTTTGCAGAGTATCAGGTTTAACACCCCGTTCCCCTCTTTTCTTGTTATGTTTTAAAAATCTTTAGTTTTACAACTTCAGAACAATATCTTTCACCCAAATCCAGGCTGCTACCTCCAGAAATATACACAGAACATTGCTCTGTTTCCTTTCTTAAAATAAGATATTCAGTATATTTTATCTGTAGCTTCAGTGGAGTAGCTTAGAAAATGACAACAATTGAGCTGCTAATGTTTCTTTACTGATTGTCTCTGTTTAAATTACCAGACTGCTTTCTCCTCGTGAAATTTCTGTATTACCCTAGTCATAATCTAAGCTTGTTGAGACTGGCATCTACCAACAGGAAAAAAGGCTATAACTAAAGTTTCTTTCAGTCAAAGATTTAGAGCTATTTATGCTAAGACCCCTTCTTAATTTATAGGCCACATCATTTTAGGGCTACACCAGCACAACGGTGCAAAGGAACCTTAGTGAAAATGAGTAGCAGAACCTTAAAGCTTTGCTTCAGTATTTGAAGAATGGTTGTCAGGTTGAGCTGCTGTACTGTATTTAAGAAGCCCAGGTTTGGGCCTTTTTTTAATAAACATCATAAAACTGCAAAATATAGTTCAACGGGAATGAAATACTTATGACACCTTCTATATTATTTCTGCGCTGATGTGTAAATATTTGCACCTTCAAACACCTTTTGTAACCTAATGAATGGAGAAAGCACAAGGTTTTTTGTAAGCATGAGACATGAAAATCTACAGTGCTTGTTTCTAATTGGTAGTGTTAAACTTCACTATATTCGCCCCAGTCTGAATCAACGGCTACTCTTCTATTCATCAGAGCCTGATTATCCTTTTTTTAAACAAAACTCACTCAAAATAGACATCCCAGACTAGTTTGTGGATTTAAAAGGGGCAGGTTGCCATGCCACTAAACCACTGTTTATTTGTTGAGGTTTTCATGTATAAAAGGATTGAAGATAATTTTAACTTCCTATTTTATCAGGTCTTGAATTTGAGCATAAAGCTACTTGTGTCACGGATACAAGTCCATGCAAGTCAGGAGACCATAAATTGCTATAATCGAGTTTTATGCTTCTTTCATATCACAAGCAGGGGGAAAGTACACCTGTTCATTTAAAAGATCTAACCATACCAGTTCACAGACAAAAGGGTGGGGGGGGGCCTCTACCACATCACACATGTTTGAAATTGAAAGATTGCCTTGTGAAGGCATATAATGTGAAGGATTTGACCTAAACTAACACAAGCAAAGCAACTCAGTTAAGACTCAAAATCCAAATAACACTTGAGCCCTAACTCACCCCTTTCTTTGTGCAAAATGAAGAAAGATTGATAGAATGAACATAGTTGGGAGGGAGGGAGTTGTGGCTTAAGTGTAGCTTCTGAGACTTTAGACAAGGGGCTTGTACATCATTTAAAATATATATTTTTATAGTGGAATTTCCTCCAGTGTCAATCTGGACCCATGAGTAAATATATTACTGTGGATAATGTTGACTAGGACAAGTAGATATATAACTAGAGAGTTTTAAAAATATTAATTACCTGGTTTCCATATAATCGCTTGCCAGGGCCAGTATAAATATTTTCAAATTTGTAGATCATCAGACCAAGGAGCTGTTTCTGTGCAACCATTAATGTTGAGTCAATGCACAGCAAACACTGTAAGTAATTTCTAAAGTGAGGGGGAAGGCACAAAATCCCAAGATATTTACTTACATTTAAAATGAAATAAGTTCACATTGTTTGATTTTTGTCAAATTAGCTAAAGCAATGTTTCCGTAATTGAGGTTTATTTTTCACACGTCTAAAATATACATTAAAACTATTGCCCTGATTTAAAAAGCAAATAATTATTATAAACAGTTAAAGCCACACATCTTATTCTTTTTACACTTTTCAGCTTAGTTTTTAATTTCTTGTGTATTCTTTTTTTTCCTAATTTGTAACCTCATACATTAAGTTTCAGCTCAGACAGTGTTTTTACGGATAAGTTTAAAATTGCTGGAAACAAGAGTTTTAAAAAACATTGACACATCTCTAATCAACAGTACCTCTGTAACAGAACAGAGTAAATTATTTAAAGATCAACTCTTTGGATGAGTAGAACACATTAAAACAGATTATTTTGTTACAATCCAGCCTTTTGTCTTCTCCCAGGTGCAATATGGTTTGTTTAAGAGACATTTCAAGGTCCATACTTTCATAATCTTGTTCCACTGAAAACAGCCTGCGTTTATCAGGGTTCCCATGAACCAAAGAAACAGTGTAGTGGAATCAAGGGGTATGTGTAAGCACAATGACTTTAAATGGCTTTGCTCCTATTACAACTCTACCCTGTCCAGGTTTTAATATTTCCACTTTTAAATCAGCTTGATAGGTCATAGGTTAATAATGTTAAAAGTGTTCATAAGGTAGTGTTTCAGAACAATCTGGCAGTCTCACAGCTAAGCATGTCACTGGCTTTAGAATAAAATGTAATTTTTAAGGCACTTAAAAGAATCCTAATTGATGCAGTGATCTCTTCCAGTAGATGTTGATAGACAGACCCTCTAGATCAGGGAACAAAACTCCCTTTTCATTGTAAAATATTTAAAAAAACATATCTTTATCTAAGAGTGTACTCTTTGGGTAAGCATTTGTCTCCCTCTCTTTCTGACATTGTACATTTCCTTCTGTTGTTTGTGTTTAGAACAAGAGTGCAGCTTGGTAAAGGAATATCAAAATGCTTTCCTTGGAGTAGTCATATGGTGTTTCCAAAGCAAAATAGGCACCCCGAGATATTTAAGGTGTACATTGTATATTGATAACTGGATTTAACACAATTCATGTCAGATCGTTGCTGGTCACCACTGACTAGTAGAATGCTAGTGGAGGGGTCAGTTTCATGCCTGGTTTTCAGTGGTGCAGCAGTGAGGTCAGGACAATCGTGTCAGTGTCAATAAACAACTTGCCAGGGCTTCCTCAGGCCTCAGCCTTTGGGCAGTCTAGCTGTGGGGATAGCAGTGCATAAAGTGTACTTTCAGCCTGGAAAGTAAAAGTTTGGAAAAGGGAGCCAGATCACTTGAAAAGTCCACATTTTAGTGTTGCCTAGGGAAAACCTAATTGGCTTGCCTGCTTCCTGGTATAGAGCAGCCAATTAGGATTTCTACAAGAGGCAGGAGCTACCCCGCACTTC